AGATAGATAGATAGATAGATAGATAGATAGATAGATAGACAGACAGACAGATAGATAGATAGATAGATAGATGGTTTTATATTGACGATTTTTGGTCAATTTATGGTATCTGGACTTTTTACATATCATAATACTCCAATCAGTTGTAAATCTAAAAAGTGCTTACTCTTTGTGTTACAATCATTATCTTTCAGACTTTCTGTCCATGAACTTTCATTTTGCCTGTTATGTAAAAGAATGTCGTTTTTTTCTCAAACCTTCAATTTTTGATGTTTTTTTTTCTCATCTACTTTTTTTCTTTTCTCTTTGATTCCAAAGGTAATTTCAGGGCTTGTTATTCATACCATAACCTAACTTTATACTAGTGGAAAATAAAATCGATGCATTCATAAGAGAGTTACATGGATGAATATGTAATCGAACTCAGAGGCATGAAGGGGTAGGTCAGTTACCTATCTCTAAATTTTTTCCCATTCAAAATATCCAAGATCATAACTGTACAAAGGTTTGTATTCAATCTATCTATCATGTACCAAATTTGGTAGGTAAATAAAAAATCCTTTTTACTTTTATGAAAGCTGTTTATTTTCAATATGGCGGCCGTTACCATGGTAACCATAGACTTTAAAAAAATTAAAGTTATTATTTAGATATGTTTTCCTATTATACCTCCATGCTATAAGGTTTTACCTCAAAGGTCATAGTTACCGAGATGGGTTTATAAACCAGTCCCCCCCCCCTTTAATCCTTTTGTCTTTGGCATCTTTAAGCCTGAAACGATTAAAGATCGCAGTTAAACAGATCTACTGATACCAGCCGAACTAAAATACTAGAACAGTTCAAATATAGAAGCCTTTTTCACCTGACCTTAGCTTTTCAGGAGATACAGATCTCACCTGACTGAGCTGTCGTGCCTGTTCCGCATCACCTTTCTCCAACAGAGGAGTGAGCAAAAGTGGTCCTGAAGCTTGATCCGCCTCAGCAGCGAACGTTGATGATGTTAGAAAATAGAAATAATATAGCACAATAATGTTTCCAGCGGAGCCGAAACTAAACAGAACCATCTCGAATTTGTCTCACAGTGTATATTTTGCAGCTGTGGCGAAGGAACAGTGAGACCGCTTTGGGTCTAGCTATCCATAAATGTCTGTAGAACAAACCTGTAACGATAGGAAATAATGGTGCGTGCTGCGGGAAACCAGTAGTTGACAACGCACTACATAAAAAGGACACAAATGTTGGAATTTTTACTGACCATGTTTTGTTTATATCCTCTAAATTTACCAAGGTAATTAAACGTGTTTAAATATAAAGTTCTTAATCTATTATTACGTATACGATAAAGAGTAAATTATCATTAATTATAGTTGTAGATATTTTATGCCGCCATCGACACAGTTTAGATAACGTAGGAAGCGGGCTGTTTGACTCCGCCTGTCAGGGCTATCCAGGGCTGAGAGGGATACAGTGTCCCTGCCGACAGACGGAGATACTCGACAAACATTCCTCATTCACAGAAATCGAACTCAAGTCTTCTTCGTGCAACAGCGAAGTGCCAAACACTTACACAGGCGCCAGTAACAGGGGGACAACTTTCTTTTCTGCAAATGACTTGTTACCATTTGTTACGGCGATTCTGCATGAACTTTTTTGTGTATGGAAAAGTAGAATGCTTGGACATCTTCCTCAAACAGACACGTATACACATACTCACACAATCGCACACCCGTACACTTGCAATGAATTAGCACATGTGATAAGACCGCTTCCTTTTATCTCATAGACCCTAAGCAAAGCTAAACGGCAACAGAGTATATATAATATCCAAACTGGCTAGAAGCACGGGAGGTAAAGAAATACCTCAGTTTTCGAACGAAATAGAAACACAAATACGAAGAAAATCATTTTAAAACTTTCTAAGCACTGCGATCCCCGAAAATTCTTCAGACTGCATACTTTTCAGAAATACAGACACAACATAACGAGTTTAACAGGTATCGCATCTGCTGTGAATGGCTAAGAAAAATAATAAAGATAGACGTAACGATAAACTGCACATCATTTCAAGCACCCTGCATGGTAAGAGGATTTTTTTCCGAGAAGCCAATACGACGTTTTTGCACAAAAAGGCAAAAACATAGCAAATGTATTCACACAAAAAAACCCAACAAAAAGGAACCAACAACAAATAAATATAACGAATAGTCTGGTAAAATCGCAGAACAAACGGAAGAAGTCGGAAAATAACTCCTCATGGGAACATGTTTATCCGTCTGAAGAAGCACTTACACTAATAGTAGAAGTAGTAAACTAATTCTCGTTGAGGTGGGTTTTTTCGCGTCTCCTTTACTTTTTTTTACTTCTTTTTTTCTGTTCTTTTTTCTGATACTTGATAAAACCGAAGATCCGATCGAAGACGTAGTAAAAAAAAAAAAGCAACCCTAGTCGGAGAACCCCAAGCTCCTGAGATCCCTAGCTGTTACAACGTAAGTCGATCTGTGAGCAGCTCGCCGTGGAAACGTAATTACCTGATCCGCTGCTCACCGCCCTCCAACCCCCCCCCCACCACACACACACCAAAACCACCACCCTCCCCCCATCCACCACCCCGATCCCATCCTCGGCTGTCTATAACCATTCATGTGCCCTCACATCCTCTAACCGAATCTAACGTCTCTTTCCCTCTCTTACCGTGGCATCTCCCGATCGTCTCACCAGTTTCCTGCAGAGAAAAGACGGGGACTTAAACAGGCCTAAAAGAGACGAGAGATGAGACTGTAGAAGAATATCAAGATAGACTGATAAAGAGATAGACAGACAGACGCAGAGACAAAGAGATAGGTTGTGGTGCACTAGTTGTAGTGCTCTAGTTGTAGTACAGTGGTTGTAGTGCAGTGGTTGTAGTGCTCTAGTTGTAGTACAGTGGTTGTAGTGCAGTGGTTGTAGTGCTCTAGTTGTAGTACAGTGGTTGTAGTGCAGTGGTTGTAGTGTACTAGTTGTAGTGCAGTGGTTGTAGTGCAGTGGTTGTAGTGTACTAGTTGTAGTGCAGTGGTTGTAGTGCAGTGGTTGTAGTGCTCTAGTTGTAGTACAGTGGTTGTAGTGCAGTGGTTGTAGTGTACTAGTTGTAGTGCAGTGGTTGTTGAGTACTAGTGTAATGCAGTGACTGTAGTGCAATGGTTGTAGTGCAGAGTGGTTGTAGTGCATGTACGAGCGCAGTGGTTGTAGTGGACTAGTACGTTGGGTTTTAGGGTAACGCACCTTGGGGCGGCTCTTTCCTTCAACTGGAAGACTGCTTCCGGAAATAATTCAAACTATTAAAAAGAATCTTCTTCGCAAAGATCCTACTTAGGAAAAGTTAGATCTATATTAGAAGAGTCTGAATTAAATTTCAAAAAAAATTTAAAACAGTGTAACAAATGCACAAATCCAAACAGGACCAGTAACTTGCGAGCCCATCAAATTTTCCTGCTTTGGGGCCCATTAAAATTGCCCCCACCCTCTTTTTCTCCCTTGCTATCAAATTCGTTTCAGAAATTGTAACACACGTTTAAAAGACAGAAGGACTATTATAATATTACCACAATAAGGCTCCCTTATTTCACGACTTATCGCAAGCAGGTTGTTACAGGGTTCTACATGTCGGTCTTACTTCTGTAGGCTCCCTATTTTTCTGTCTGTCTTTTTTTTCTTGTTTCGTTATCTCGAACTTAGTGGGAAAAATATATTATTAATGTATCTTGCATAGACGTCGAGACAAGTATGATTTAAAAAGTTACAGGGGAAATTAGCCAGAAAATGGTCACCAAAATTTGTACTTGCTGAATACTCGTACTCGTCTTATAAAATAATATGGTTTTGGATTAAAGTATTTTTTGTGAATTTATCCTTTGATAGTTGGAGAAGGTTTTCTTGCATACAGAAAATAAATTCAATAAAATGCGCTCAGCAGTCGGAAAATTAAGGGGGACGTTACGACTGAGGACTGACGGATCAACTAAAACAATTAGCGGGTTAAAAGGGTGATAAAACCAACGTAATCCAGTTTCCCACAAGCATCTAAGTTAAACCTTACCAAAAGTGGGACGAGAAAGGAGACAGAGAAGCCCAGTATATTCCATATATTGGGAAATGCGTCTTTCAGTTCTCTGTGCAATGTCTGAAGAGAATAAATACGTGATTCAGGTTGTTATTTTCTTTCGCTTCTCTCCTGGTTGCTCACACTCGAAATGCCTTAACTCAAATATGATCTTTGCTACGGGCAGGACGAAGATTTTGTCTAGGTCTTTTTTTTTTGCGTTTAAACTGTATCATTAACAGGAGTTGGGGATGTCAAGTTCCTTTCGAAATGTATTTGCTAAGCAACAAGTTAGTGAATGATTCCCTTTGATATTTTTGTAGCAAAATATTAATGACCGTACTTCCTGGAGGCTGGTGTTGGCTGATATCTTGTTCATGACAGCAAGTACACGCACACTTCTTCAAAGCTACAGTGTTTGGTATGTGGTGATTTTGTTTAACATAGCTGCATCTGAGAAAAGAAGACGGGTCATGTGAAAAGAGGGCAGTGTTTAAGAGAAGGTTTAGGAAAGCATGCTGGTTATTTTTTAATTAGACTTCTCACATGCGCTTTTCAGTCGCTGATTTCATCGTCGTCGTCGCCGTCGTCGTCGTACCACCACCACCACCACCACCATCATCATCATCATCATCATCATCATCATCATCATCATCATCATCATCATCACAGTTGTTGAAAACGCTAGTCAAAATAGTCCTGGCAATGTTTTAAATTGTATAAATGTTAACCGAACTCGAAAAACAATTTAGAGACAAAAAGGCTCAACGTTTCTCACAACGTTTCGTTAAGTGGGCTTCAACATAAACGAATAAAGGCACTCTAGGGAAAGTGCCGTTCAAGATCAGTAGACAGAGAGCCAGTAATCAGTCCTTTGAGGAGACCAAGCACAAATTAGTGAAATACAAAGATGTAATTCTGGGGTGAAATAAGAAGATTGAAGAATGAACATTATCGAAAGAGACGTGGTAGTAGAAAGCGCAGAAGCAAGTAACAGGTTTACTACAGGCTCCAGGACCGCAGTTAGGCACAAAAGTTCAGTTGAAGTTCAGGAGAAGTCAGTTCCCCGATATACTAATTTACCCATAGAGCGGTTAGGTCGGGGCTGTACTGTTGTGGGATGTTTAATGTGTGTGTGTGTGTGTGTGTGTGTGTGTGTGTGTGTGTGTGTGTGTGTGTGTGTGTAAAAAAAAATATATGGGGGTGGGTGGGGGTGTGGGGGTGTGTGTGTGTGTGTGTGTGTGTGTGTGTGCGTGTGGGCGGGAGTGGGTGGGTGGGTGGAGGAGGGGGGGGGGGGGTCCTGAGTTGCAGTTAAAGAATAATAATCGACCAAGTGAAAGGTGGAGTAGTGGCTTGTATTCTAGCAGTGGAAGTAGCTGATTGATGAGGTTAGGTCTAACGAGCGAGCGAGCTTTGGAGTTTGTAGGTGAATGAGTGAGCAGGTGAGTATGAGTGCGCGTGAGTGTGAGAGAGAGAGAGAGAGAGAGAGAGAGAGAGAGAGAGAGAGAGAGAGAGAGAGAGAGAGAGTGGTGTTTCTTTATTATGAAGGGGTGGAATTATCAGTTTTCTTTAAATCAGAGCAATAAAGCAATAGAGCTGGGAGATAGAATTAGCGTTGACTAGAACCCCAACATATTGTAAAGGCCAAGCGTACTAGTAGCGTGCCAGTTGACGTATGAATTCACAGTGAACCTCGCATCTCTTGGAAAAGAGATGGTATCTATGGATTTTTTTCCTATTTATTTCACCAATATACTTCGCACTCATCAAACAGGGAAGAGGGCCCCCGCACACAACACCAATTGCAGCATGTGTTCCAGACACGTTAAATGCTTGGTTCTGTTTCGTGGGGGTAAGGATGAGTGAAAGAAAACATGCGAACGGACTGCAGGAACTGGTTAGGAAAAGTGAACATGCCTTTTCATGTACACTAAGTAGCTTACACTACAAGCAGCTCTAATTCAGTTTCTTCAAAACTATGCTCTCATCAATACACATCGTTCCAGAAAGCTAGACCTAGCAAAATGTGGCTCTTCAGCAACAAGGAGAGGGAATCAAGGAATGGCGATGGGTCTCATTAAAAGTATTGAGAAATGCCCTAGCGTCTCACACAACTTCTCTCAGCCCAGCCAACCGTACCTACCCGGGGTGGTCCCTGTTTTCACGGACACAGCTCTGGCAAAAAGCGGGATATTGGGGCCAGCAAACCAAAACCCTTCCTCCTAATGGGATAGAACAGCAGACTGGATATAAATAGGTATGGCTAAAAAAAATGTTGTCCGTCCTTCGCATATGAAGAAGACCATGACTTCACAAATTGGTCTGTTGACAGTGACAGTGGGTCCGGAGATGGCTGATTAGGCATATCCGGGCTCGGAAGGTTCGTCCACAATGTGGGCACGTATAGTCAGCAGTTGGACTTGTGGTGGAGGCAGGTCTAGACTTGCGAACGTTGCGTTTTTGTTTGGCCTCGGCGATTTGCTTGGCTTCTGCCGCATTGACTCCCTTCGTTAGCTTGAAGCGCCACGCGGGTCGAGTCGTCACAGGATTCCAAGTTCCTTTAGAGAGACTTTGGGGCAGTCCTTGAAAGGTTTTTTTCTTCCCTCCAACTGAGAGCTTGCCATGGAGCAGCTCTCCATACATCACCTGCTTGGACAACCGGCTGTCCGCCATTCTGATCACGTGGCCGGCCCATCAGGCTCACGTTTTGTGGAGGATGGTGTAGATGCTGGGGGTTCCGGCTCGCTCTAAAACAGCAGTGTCTGGGGCTTTGTCCTGCCATTGGATGCGGAGGATTTTACGAAGACAGCTCAGGTGGAATCGATTGAGCTGCTTAGCGTGTCTGTTGTAGACGGTCCATGTCTCACTGGTGTAGAAAAGAATTGAAAGGACCACTGCTCGGTAGACCTTCAGCTTTGTGGAGAGGCTGAGTCCTCTGCGCTCCCAGACATTCTTGCGAAGCCTCCCAAAGGAGGCGCTGGCCTTGGCAACTCTGGTGTTAATTTCAGCATCTATATGTACGGCACGTGAAAGTCTGCTGCCTAGGCAGGTAAAGTGGTCAGCTGCCTGGGGTTTCTGTCCCTTCACCATGATTTGTGGCACAGTGCATGGTTGTCCGGGGGCTGATTGGTACATGACTTCGGTTTTCTTGGTGAGGCCGAAGTTGTCACAGGCGAAGGGAAACAGTTCATTTCCTTTTGCATACACTCCTCTGTACTAACGTTGAGTGCACAGTCATCGGCGAAGAGAAGTTCCCTGATGACTGTTTCTTTCACCTTGGTAACGGCCTAGAAGCGCCTGATGTAGAACAGCCTGCCGTCAGTTCTGTACCTGATACGGATGCCATCTTCACTGCTGTGGAAGGCATCTGTTAGCATGGCGGAGAATACCATGCTGAAAAGAGTTGGGGCAAGGACGCACCCTTGTTTAACGCCGTTGGCCACAGGGAAGGTGTCTGACTCATCTCCGTCCTCTAACACCGTCACCATCCTATCATCGTGAAGCTGTCTAACGATGGTGATGAATTTACTTGGGTATCCATATTTCTCCATGATCCGCCACAGTCCATCTCTGCTGACAGTGTCGAAGGCCTTCGTTGGCTTAAGAAAATACAGGAGATAACACACCGATGTGTGGTAGACGCTATCATGCTCACTGATACACCCCCATTTTTCCTTGACTGGGTGTCTAATCTGCCTAATACCCATGCTTCTGTTATCATGACATCTTCTGCGGCTCAGAGGGAACCATACAGTTTGAGAATGTGTGCAAGGATGGATCGAGCAGAATTGTTTTCTGCGGTGGGCCGTTTAGTAAAAGCACAATGCCCCGGACGGGACCGCACGATCACAGAGCAGTTAGGTTTTTCCGACCCATGCAACCCCCCATATCCTCTTATCCCAGGCATGGCATCTTCATAAGGTGGACACAGGCAGTCCACAAACACCCCGGTACTCAATGACATGACAAAAAGAACACAATTTCATTTGAGCTCGGACGTCGCCTCGTTAAACACATTCCCGCGTCTGGCAGTGCAATCACTGGGCTGCTCCGAGCGACAAGTCAGCTACAGTGGTTACACGCAGATATAGAATTGTAACAGGAAGTAACAGCTCTCAGCGTGAGAACGGAGCCGATTACAGCTCTCCACATAAAAAAATCTCAACCTCTTGCAACACAACATTTGTGATCTAAGGAATAGGACAACACAAGTCCTCGAAGTACTGAGGGACAAGCAGATTTGTATTTTGCCCTCCATCAAGTAACCGTAAATAAAAATAAGGACCACAAAGGATGCACCAGTTATGCCTGTTCATGCAAAGGATGCCGCGGTGTTATCAGTTACCTGCAAAATTTCCGGGAACACAGCACCAATACAACCACTTGAAACACCCATGGATAGTCACCATTTGCCACGAGGAACCAAAAGAGCAAATTAAAAAAACCCCAAAACAACAACATTACAACACTTATAAAATAACACAACCTTCACACCCAGTGACACCGACATTTTTATCCCATCAGGCAATCGATACCAATTAAGATGACTGGATACACGACTATACAGACGGCTCAGCGTTCAAAGGTACAACCGAAGCCGGATATTATGGAATACTTATTCAATAGCTAGATGTACGTTCCAATGAGATCTCTGCAGCCTTTTGAGAGAATGTAGCAGCTATTATTCAGAAATGATGGCAATGGTAACTGGACTGTACCATCTCCACACAGTTTTTGACACTCATCCTGACAAAACATAGAGTGTTGTGATTTTCACTGACAACATTTACGCCGTTCGGCGCTCATAGGAAGTCACGCCCCTCCCCCCAAAGACACACACACACAAGCACACACGTCGATACCTGTCTCTAATAACCCAAACACTCCAGGGGCCATATCAGATCCCCAAAGCTTCCAGCACACGTAAGTGCAGAATACCAAAAACAATCCCTGTCTTCCCACTAATCACGTTTCAAACCAGAAATTTCCCAAGAGACATTTGTTTTTGATAGTCTTGTGGATAGGAAATGACGACTGTAAAATCATTTTTTTTGGCTGTCTGTATCTGTTGCCGATTTGCGAACTAAGGGTTGTCTTCTACTATATTATACTATTTTCAGTTTTGTTCCCACAACTCTTCGGTCACACACCGCACAACAAAACGATCTGAGAGGATATTGCTGTGCTTTACACGATGATATTTTGATCCATGCAGGACCGGCTGGAGCCATGATTGAAGGATTTAACAACTGCCCCTGAACATTTTTCTTCATCAAAAATCATAATTGTAAGGTTAAAACTTTAAAAATTCACCAAGGTGACTTTTTGTTAACAAGAGTTTTGTTAACCAGAGCTTTGATATCTCTGGCATATTCAGGAACTCCCATTTCTCTCGGCTCACATTAAAGATTCAACCATTTCCGGATCTGCTCACAATAAATATCCCCCTATACTCAACAGCCCAGAGGGACGATTTGTGTGAACAGTAGTATGATCGATATTTACTGACCTTTCCGATAACGACACGAGCCGTGAGGTCAGAGGGGCACTTCACTGCCTTAACCAAGTCAATGCCATCTTAGAGTAAGATGTAACACTGTGAAATCCTGACCAGGATGAAATGAGCTTGCTCTTTATGCTTGAGACACACTTTACATCATTTAGAAGGCGGGTCAGTGATAGAAGAAGTGAAAAGATAATAAGACCTTGCAAAACAGTGATACCATTCAGCTATCTGCACCATATTTTAGTGCTTTTCGTGTACACGAAGACGGGGAGAGTCGGTGACAAGTGTGCACTTTATGGGTACAAGTCAGACAAGTGGAGTATCAGCATAGAATTTTTTGCTGAGCAAATTTTGATGTTGTTGATCCAAAGGAAGGCGGAACGAGCATCAATCTGTTCCTTTTGCGTTCATGTTAAGAATTTGTTATGTAGCCACTACGGGAGAACCCACCCCCCAAAAACAACAACAAAAAAACAACTAAAAAAAAAGACAACAAAAAACAACAAAACATAAATAAAAAAAATAAAAAAATAACTACATTAAAAAATACTAATATATTTTAATAAAAGAAGAAAAGAAATAAAAATATATAAACTTAAATTAAAAAGAGAAGAAAATTTAACACCCCCCCCCCCCCCCAAAAAAAAAATAAATTCAAAGAATAAATAAATATATAAACAAACAAAATAAATGAAAGAAACCGAACGTTCTTCTGATTATAGACAACATGCCCATCCCTGAAAGAATAGATGCAAAGAGGAATTTCGTGCAAAGTGCCTTCCCCAATGACACAACGCCTGAAACGAGTGAGGCTAAAACCCCCAAAACCCGCAATGCCACTAGGATAGCGACACCTCGCTGCAAATTTTTTCTTACATGTTTCGATATAAAGTTGAAGAACAGCCGATTAAAATCTTTTAGACCGCACAAGGAGCTTGTTGTCGACTAATCTTTTAATACTCTCGTTAGAAGTCAATGTTTTTATTTAACCTCTTCGGACAAATACACCATTTCTTTCTTAAAAACTGCACTTGCTTTAATTTTACTTTGCGTGAACGAGCTCTACATTTTCTCATAAAGACGAATTAACAATAGTAGGGGGAAGAAGGACGAGTGCCTGCTTCACAAACCATATTATTTCACGGCCTCTACTTTGGCTACTCACCTGTGAATAGCTTGCTCCCCGCGAGAGAGATCCGTTTGGCACTAGCCTTATCAACAATTATTTCTTCATTGGCAGGGTCCACTGAAGAGGAAGAAGTAAATGAGGGCAAGATTACCACTGCACAGGACAAAAAATAGCAAAGGTAGCTGTGAGATGGTTTGTTTAGTGTATCCACTGGTCCATGAAATTGAAACAAACATGGACTGGGGTAGGAATACGAATTTGTCAAGTAGAAACTATAGGCAGAGAAACCCACAAGAATCCCATACAGTGCAACTTCTTTTCTACTTTCAGTTTTTCTATTGTAGCGTCTACCTTAACGAATTCCCCCAAGACTCACTGCTTACTTATTCCCGCGTTTCCCTTTTGCCGCATTTGGCTCCAGACTCAGCCTTTTTCATCTATCCACCATCTCTCCATTCCTCAGTCACAACAAAACCTAACAAAACATATTCACACATACGCGCACTTATTCACAACCACACACAAACACACACGCACACACACGCACACAGACAGACACAGACGCGCAGGCGCACACACACACATACGCATAGGCGCATGCGTGCACACTCACACACGTACACCTACAAACACAACCGAATCCCTGATCACAATCCTCCACCCTGAAACTCCCCCCCAAACCCCCCCCCACCAAAAACAAAACGAAAACAACACCAACAACAAATCAACAAACCTCCCCCACCCACCCCAAAAACAGGGGAAATGAAAACATTAGGCAAAAGAATATCTACCCTTTTTTCCTATTACTTTTTTATATTTTCTTTATTGTTTCAAAATATCTTATCACTAATAATGTTCTTATGTATTTTTCAACTTAACTGACGTCGTGTCCTCATCCAAAGTTTTCGTGCTGAATCCTCGTGGCATCTTGGTATCTATCGTCTTTTCATCTTTCAACGTACTCAAAGTTTTACCCCACCTTACGCACCGCACCTTACAAGTTCGTCTTTGAGCAATTCTCTAAAAAAATCGCTTCTTTAGAATTTTTCCTTTCTTCCTATCTCTTTCTCTCTCTCTCCCCCTCTCCCTCCCCTCTCCCTCCCCCGCCTCTCTCTGTATCACTTCCTCTGGAACACAATTTTCCCCAAAGCCAGTCTGTTCGGATCAGTGTCGTAATCATTTCTAATCGTCTCCCTTTTTTAACGTAAACGCACAAACGTCAAAGACCTGAAGTTCCATCTCCCTTGTGTGTTCTATTCTTTTAAATCCAAGCTGCCACGTAGCAGCACCCCTCTCCCCTTTCCCTCTCCCCTTTCCCTCTCTCTTTTCTGAAGAAGAAAATAGTTTTTTCCCTTCTTGTTCAGTCACAAAGGGGCGTTATTGTACTTTGGGTAATCGCTTTACGAAGAACAGCGTGCCCCGTCTCCTAAATGAGCCACATGGTAACTTGCAAGGCACATAACTATTACTGATCAACTAGATAGGGTCTTAACTGTAAGG